GCTGAGGCTGCTGATCTGTATGCTGAGACTCACAATTCCTATAAAGACCTAAAGGGATCGAGCCCTAAGGGCAAGGGTTCACCAGATCTTAAGAAATCAGAGCCTCTAGTGGAAAGTAAATTGACGTCTTTTATTCCGGTTTGTCATTTGTTGTGTTAAGGGACATAAACGTCCTGATTGTTCTAAGAAGGTGCAAAAAGTTGGTAGGTAATTTAAAGACTGTAATGACCAGGCACCCTTCTGCTTGGGAACAGTTAATTGACTTAATGTATCTACCTTTTCACGAGATACTGGATGCACGTGTAGTCATTTCTGATAAGCTGTTCCCTAACCTTAAAGAAACTAATGCCTCTGCAATCCTTTCAGACTACTTGGGCCGTACGGACACTTTTCCTACCATCCGTTGTTACATTAGGTCTAAATGGTTCACAGGTTGGTCTGAAGCCGTACTAGCTCCCATCACTTCTTGCTCCGTACTATTAGGTAATGTAAAAGGTGCCATTCTTCCTTCTGAGGTTGACCTTTCATCTCCAAAGATGGACGTAAGTTTTTCAGCTCCTCTTCCTGTAAAGTCAGAAAAGCCCCTCGACAGTTCAGTTGAGGCAATGTCTCGTGATATTCATTTGGGGTTAGAAACCAGTGATACTACTTGTGGCCTGGTGGCCTGGTGGCTAAAAGCTCCCGCTTCACACACGGAGGGCCCGGGTTCGATTCCCTGCGGATGGAAACATTTCGACACGTTTCCTTACACCTGTTGTCCTGTTCACCTAGCAGCAAATAGGTACCTGGGTGTTAGTCGACTGGTGTGGGTCGCATCCTGGGGGACAAGATTAAGGACCCCAATGGAAATAAGTTAGACAGTCCTCGATGACCCACTGACTTTCTTGTGTTATCCTGGGTGGCTAACCCTCCGGGGTTAAAAATCCGAACGAAATCTTATCTTATCTTAAAGCGAGGTAGTAGGATCACCGGTTCACTTGTTAGATGAAAGTGAGGATATCGCCTCTGATACTGTAAATGTCTTGACTAGGGCTCAGACCAAAGCCCAGGCTTCTCCTACTGTCCATCCTTTGATTTTCTCTGACTTTAAAGCCTTTAGATATATCGAAGGACTCCTTTGTCAATTTACAACGTAATTGCCCTTCTCTTCAGAATTGCCGTAATGCCGCTAGAAAAAAATCAAGTTATCCAAAGGAAAAGCTTTTCATTTAAATTTGAATATATAAGAGGTATCTTGTATAAATCAGTATTCAAATTAAATTCAGATGAGATAGACTATTCCATCTTAGTTGTTCCAAGTCGATGCAGAGAGACTGTTCTTAAAATGGCTCATGACCTTCAAGTGGCCGGACATTTCTCACATCGTAAAACCTTGAATAAAATTAGGGAAACCTATTTTTGACCCAAAATGTCTTCAGATGTCACTACATATTGTAGATCGTGTAAAGTTTGCCAACTGTCATCCTCCCGAGGTACCAGGCAAGTACCTATGGTCAAAATGCCAATCTTTACGGTACGGTTTGAAAGAGTAGCTATTGACAACGTTTGGTCAGGCAGTTAACCGAATTTCTTCGGTAATATTTCTTAAGAATGTTATGATAAAGCTTAGGTTTCCCCTTGACTTCTACGAGGTAATCAACCTTCCCAGAAATTTTCAATACCTTCTAGGGATCTTTCCATGCTACTAATAATTTATTTGACTTTATTGGTAAAAGTACCAGAACCTCATTCCCTACTTTAAAACCTCTCCTCTGGCTTTTGGTATCAAAATAGGTTTTGTACTGGTCCATTGATAAGCTTAAGGTTTTCGAAACTGTCAGAAGCTCATGCGTAGCTTTCTTGGTTCTGTAAATTTTTATACACGGTTTATTCCCAACATTACCGATCTTACAGGCATCTTATCTGACTACCTTAAGAAGTCTGTGAATGAACCTCTTGAACTTTCCGACGTAGCTCGAGAAAAGTTTAATGAGATTAAGAACGTCTTCTCGAAAGACCCTATACTTAAGATTCCTGATATTAATAAGCCGTTTTGTTTAAGAACTGATGCCTTCAATACCGGCCTAGGTGCAGTGTTACTACAGTACCATGATGGTACACCCTTTCCTGTATGCTTCCTAAGCCGGAAACTTCTACAGAAACAAAATACTTCACCATAAAAAAGGAATGTTTTGCCCTTGTGTGGGGTATCTCCAAACTTAAATTTTATTTACTGGGAAAAGAATTCATTTTAGAGACGGATCACAAACCTTTGATATACCTAGAAACTTTTAAGGGAACCAACAGTTGCCTCTTGAGGTGGCCATTGGCACTCCAATCTTTTAAGTTTCATATTGTGCATATCAATGGTTCATCCAATTATTTCTCTGACTGGTTAAGTCGTGACAGTCAGTAGAAGATTTGGATCCTTACACGACTTCCACATGTTAGAACTTCTTCCTCACCTATTCTTCTTATACTCCTTGACTATAAATCTTTATATGGGGGAGTGTGATGGAAAAGTTCAACAGATAGGAGTAGCGAGCGAGTATATGGTGATGATAGTTTGATTGCCAGTCTGCTTGTTAAGGTAGGGTCAGTCTAGCTCCTGCTATCCCCCCCCCTTTTCTCCACCCAGAAAGTTGACATGTCGGGCTCTGACCAAATGGTAATCTCTTGACTCACAGCTCCCAACACAACTGTAAGTAAAAGCCTTTGCTCCTGTTTTTAATGGATATATTGGTTAAAAGCTTCATTTTTAACCAATGCTAAGAGTTCATTCTGCCTTGATTTCCAGGTTTTGTATTTCAATCTTCACCAGTCTTTTAAGTGCTTTACTTATGGAGTGATTTCCTAAGCAGTGTGTAACTTTTGTCTCTTTCTAGCTTGGAATGTCAGCTTGGGTCATCTGGCAACCAAAGAAACAGTGTTGAAGGAGACGAACTTCACATGAGTTCTGGGACGTCACTTTTTATCTACGTACCTGATGAGTGTAGCCAACCTTAGGGAACTACCCTTCATCTTTGCAGTGATGAAAGACCTGCGTTCCTATCATCTTGAGAGACAACAATCGATCGACACCATGCCTAACCCTTCTAGGGTAGGGTAGGTGCCTGAGCCCGAGCCTTTAGCTCATAAGACTGTCATTCCCATTTGCCCCCTTGAGGCGGGGATGGCAGACCAGAGAGGCCTAGCTTGTGGCTAGCCTGGGGACAGTTGGTCCCAAAAATGAGGAGGTACTTGTGCCTCCTCCCATGGGAGACTTAGGTCTCAGACACTCCCTAAAGAGGGAGCCAAGGCCGGGCCACCACTTGGAAAAGGCCCGGGCCGGGAGAATACCGGCTAATCTTTAATAATAATAATCTTGACAGATTATTCAAGGCTAGAGACTGTGACGAACTAGTCGTTGGGTTGTCACACATCAGCTGTGACCCCCCACATCAGCAACGGCTACAATTTCTACAATACGTGGTGTCAATATCAACCAGACACTCCAGTGTATTTGTACATATTAGCGTTGAATTCAGATATTTTTTATATTAAATTTTTCTTTCAAGTAGGATAAAAGTTCATATTTAAACGTTTTATATTTTCAATTCTAACAAAGTATTTATATTATTTTTCTTTTTTTCTATTCATTAATTTTCCTGAGGAGGAGCCAGCCTTGGTAAGACCAACTGAAGATCTTACAGGGCTGAAGCCTCCACTCTCTCTCTCTCTCTCTCCCTTCCCCCTCTCTTCCTTCCCCCTCCCAGCCTAATTCCAGTAAATACATCCTCTGGGATCGTATTATCTCGAACATCTTCCTTTTTCTGCAACTTTGCAACCTCCTGGTACGTTGATTGCAACACGAATGGCCTACAGCTATCATTCTACACCCATCCCCGTGGTTGTTTTGGCAGCGGGGGCGTTGACCCCCGAAACCCTCTCCAGGTATATATATATACATATATAGTGAAACCTGAGCAATTGCTGATGACAGCATGAACAAGATAATAGCTGCCACATTCATTCCTCACGCATAATGCAACATAATTTTCATCCTCACTCAAATATCACAAGTCATCACATTCCTTCAGCGAATAAATGAATATTTATGATATATAAGGTAATAGCAATAATAATTATAACTGTAATAATAAGTGGAAGAAAAAGAATCGGTTATATAAACTGTTTAATAAATATTTGTGGGCTTCAGTGTGTACCCTAAAGTAGATCTCTATTTTACCTAGATAGTTAAGAAAGGCAGTTACTTTCCATAGATTGAGGTATGAAGGGATGGTATGATCATGGTGCCCAGACTATCACATTTGGGGTATATGGGGTCCAAATTGCTATGTGAGAGCAATAGATCCCAACTGGTTATGAGGTCCAAACTGATGACTAGATATTAATGTGAATGAAATAGTCTTCTGTGCAACAATGGTTGTTCATTTAAGTTATCAAGTTGTCGGTATTTTATACAGTCAAGTTGAAATGTATCTTGCTAATTATTGTCTTTCATTTTTGTGTGAATTGAGATGTAAAGATGAGAATTTAATCTTAATGGGGGAAGACTGTAGCCCCAAAATTTCTCTCGGGCCCTCCAAATTCCCCGAAATTAAAAAAAAAATTCGCTACTCCAAGACAAAGTATCTAGCTTCCTGTTCCCATCTTCCTGACAGATTGTCACCTCTAATCCCTTCCTATTCAAAACTTTTTAGTTGTCTCTGTAAACAGAACGATTAATCACCAGGTAAAATATATCTGTATTTCGGCCTCGAAGACACTTCCACTGTAGAAGGTCTCTGACATAGATCTAATGCAGAAATTTCTTTTACTTGGCCTTATACTTTGTTTATGTGGTATTCCACTTATCGTCTCAGTGTATATGTAATGACAGAATACTTTAAATCTAGTGTAGGTATTAAAGTATTTTTAAATGTTCTCGTACTGCTGAAATGAAGTTGTTGTGCAACTCGTGTAGACTTTGGACTTAAACCAAATTTACTACAATAATTATCTAGAATTTTTCCACTTAGGTTCGAATACAGGAGGAGCTGGACGATATATTTGGTAGTGGTGACCGTCCATTCACAGCAGAAGACATTCGTCAGTTAAAGTACACGGAAATGTGCATTAAGGAGGCGCTGAGGATATTCCCACCTGTGCCGGTTGTCTCCAGAAAAGTGAAAGAAGACGTTGTCATAGGTAAGCAAAAGACATTATCCAACATAATAGAAGTATTATTAATCTGCTTATTACAGAGGTGTTTCCTGGCACTGGCTACTGTCCACTGATAACCTGTTCGGTGATGAAGCAGTCGTTAGCACACTGTAGCTACATACGTATGAATTAGCAACGCTGTCCATATTACTAACATTATTATTCCCTCATTTACCACTTCCTCATGTGTGGATGTTTTGCTTGGGAATATACCTAAGGTAACATCCTCAGACTGTCAGAGTATACACTAAGCACTAAATCAAATCCGTAAACCTACTAAATGTTAATACAATTCATACAACGTCTCACGCTATAACATCCTTGTATTTGTACTAGAAAAGTGCTGAAAAATACCTTCACGTATTTATAAGCAAATTTTGCACAATGTTTCTGCAATTTCCTTCTCAATACATTCACTCTTCCCAAGTGTCTTTCTACGAGCTAAATTAACGTCCAGTCTTAAATGTTTTATAATTGCAAATATTCTCACTACATCATTCTTTTCTAAATTTTTAAAATCCTTTGTCTTCACACCCGTCGAAACTCTTTAAACTCTAATTCATTCATTTACTGTGATTTACATAATCCATCATATATATGTACTTAGTTTCTACATACTGGATATTAATTTCCTGTTTTTCGTTCTCTTCACTCATTCATTACCTGTAATTGTTTGCACTGGCATCATAGTTCTTGTCTCTGGATTCACATAAAAAAAATCTTTGTTTACACTTTCTTTACCCATTGGATTTGTTCTTAATCTCCAAAAAGCTCAGGTTCATCAAAAAAGAAAATATATAATAATCTCATTATTTTAACTTAACAGCTATTTTTAACACTCAAACATATACTTGTTTTTTAGCCGCTTCTGTATAACCATGACACGTAACAACGACGACCAGTATCTCACTTTTCTTAAAAATACTTATGGTTTGTAACAAGTTAGCAATGTTTTATAGATGATGTGTTGTTGGTAAACCTGCCTCATCATACACTGTCATGTGTGTTGTTGGTAAACCTGCCTCATGTGTGTTGTTGGTAAACCTGCCTCATCATACACTGTCATGTGTGCTGTTGGTAAACCTGCCTCATCATACACTGTCATGTGTGTTGTTGGTAAACCTGCCTCATCATACACTGTCATGTGTGTTGTTGGTAAACCTGCCTCATCATACACTGTCATGTGCGTTGTTGGTAAACCTGCCTCATCATACACTGTCATGTGTGTTGTTGGTAAACCTGCCTCATCATACACTCCCATTCGTCTTTTCCAACCTCATAAAAGAATTAAAAAGACTCTATTATTATTATATTTACAATTGTTCAGTTACGTAATTCACCATAAACCTCTGATCCATTCATCTTACTTTTCTGAAACCATTGTTTATCTGCCATCGTACTCTGTCCATCTAAGAATTACATTTACCACATATCTGTCACCTACCAACGTGGTGTGTTCAGCAGACTATTAAATAAAATGCACGCTCTTTCCTAAACCAGTTCCATTTATGAAAATTAATTACCCATGTTCGCTCTATCCTTTTATGCAATTCTTTCTTTCATACATATTTTAATCAAGTGTATAAACTATTTTGCTATTGTAAAATAGTTTATACACTTGCTGTCAACGTTTTAGATGATCCCCTTCAAGTGTCTCTGGTGTTTTTTCCCCTTTCATCACTCCCCAACAGTTTATTGATCCATATCCCAAGCACGAAATTTGTCTCCATATCACTTAATAATTTCTCTCTCTCTCTCTCTCTCTCTCTCTCTCTCTCTCTCTCTCTCTCTCTCTCTCTCTCTCTCTCTCTCTCTCTCTCTCTCTCTCTTGTGTGTGTGTGTGTGTGTGTGTGTAACACTTTCTCCTTCTCATCTAACTCTTAATAATTTGACTTATAGCAGACAAATCCCTTTAGTTCCTAAAGTTTCTCACCGTATCTCGTACATCTCCAATGTTGTTTATCAACACAGTGTGTTGAGAATGTTTCGCTCATTCTTTCCTGTGTTTCTCATATACATCTCTTTAATACACTTTTAACCTAGCTCTTATTTACAGCATCTGGCATCCTTATTTATTTTTAACGTTGTTCAAAAATTTTATTTGACATGATTTTTCATTTTATTACTATTAAACTGAACTGATTTTGTTCCACAAATCATTTGTCTTCCTGCAGAATTCATAATGATATTAATATTAATGATAATAATAATAATAATAATAACTTCTACACGTACATGTACAAGGTATGCAAGGCCAGCTGACATCAGTGACATACTACTATACAGAAAGCCGATTGTTTTGCAGAGCATTTAGGGCAAATTAGGACAGTTTAGTCCCAGGATGCGACCCACACCAGTCCACTAACACCCAGTAACCCATTTTTTTGATACTGATGGGTGAATATGGTCGTGTAAGGAAACACGACCAATTTTTCCACCATTTATCGGGAGTCGAACTTGGACCCTCACCTGGTGAAGCGAGAGTTTTTGCCACCAGGCCACGGGCCACGGGCCAGGGGCAACGGGCCAGGGGCAACGGGCCAGGGGCAACGGGCCAGGGGCAACGGGCCAGGGGCAACGGGCTACTTGCCACGGGCCACGGGCCACGGGCCACGGGCCACGGGCCACGGGCCACGGGCCACGGGCTACTTGCCACGGGCCACGGACCACCGTCCTTTAACACACAAGCTTCTGCTGCACAGTCTGGTATTCACAGTAACTAATTCCTTCCTGATATCCTCTTTATCACTTTCCTTTATACTCTCAAATATTCTTATACGAACTGCACATTTTTCACAATAAGCGACACTATACTCACATTCATCTAAATATAGTGAAATTAGACACAATAGTTGCTCATCAAAATCATGTACATACAAAATCATTCCTTCTTCCTTTCAGTCACAAGTACATAATCCACTAGATTGTTCTCAGTGTACAATTAATCATACCTCATATGCTTATTTACATTATTCAAATTAAAATATTTGTTTACAACTCATGGGCAACTTTTTTATATTATAGCATAAATATTGAACCTCTGTAAATTAAAACTTGACACAACAAATTTTCCGACTCAAGTCTCGCCCACACGTAATGTTGGTCAGAAACTAGGTGATGGTGATAAATAATAGAAAACTAATTTTGATACTCAAAGAAAAGAACAAAAAAGACAATACCGTAACTGGAACAATTCACAAATAACCCAGATATAGAAGAAAGAAACTTGGGACGATGTTTCGGTCAGACGTGGAGAATTAATTAAGTCACACACTAACACACGAAAGTGACGGAGCCATTATATACAAGAGAGGGGGGCAGGGACGGGACAGAGAGAGGAGGACAGGGACGGGACAGAGAGAGGAGGTCAGGGACGGGACAGAGAGAGGAGGAAGGAAGCAAGTGGAGGTAGTAGTGGTAGAGGTAATGCTGGAAATTGTAATAGTAACAGTAGGTTGAGGTAGAAGTAATTATGACACAAAAGACAGAAAGTGTAGTGAAGCGAGTAATGTTACTCCTGTTAAATTAGTCACATGTGCAACTCTTGGGTATCTTTATTGAGGAAACGTTTCGCCACACAGTGGCTTCATCAGTCCATACAAAGGATAAACTTGAAGAACAGGAGGAGAATGAGGTAATCAGTCCCTCAACCTTGAGTCGATGTGGTCAGTCCATCAATCTTGAATAGAATACGGCATATGAGCGGAGAAGCAGCTTATAAACCGTATGGCAGGAGAGGTGCAGCAGTCGTAGGTGGCGTCACATTTGTCCAATGTGGCAGTAGGTCGTGCCCAAGGGTTAGGCAAGCGAAAAATTCCCAAGTATTAAGTTCCCAAGATCTTAAGGCACGACCTACTGCCACATTGGACAAATGTGACACCACCTACGACTGCTGCACCTCTCCTGCCATACGGTTTATAAGCTGTTTCTCCGCTCATATGCCGTATTCTATTCAAGATTGATGGACTGACCACATCGACTCAAGGTTGAGGGACTGATTACCTCATTCTCCTCCTGTTCTTCAAGTTTATCTTTTGTATGGACTGATGAAGCCATTGTGTGGCGAAACGTTTCCTCAATAAAGATACTCAAGAGTTGCACATGTGTCTAATTTAACAACGTGTCGGTTCTTTGAACCATTCATCTACAATGATACGCCTGGTTTAGAAAGACACGTAAGCAAATACTATGACATATTTATTAGAAAACGTTTCGGTCCTGGAACCTTGATCACTTCTAACATAGAAAGGTAGAAAGACTTTATATATAGGCGGAGAGTGAGGTGTGAGTGACGCACGGTGACCTGAAGAATGTCATGTTGAGATGAGGACGGGTAGACGATGAAATCATGTGACTCCTGTGTTGTTGGGTTGGTGGTGCTTGAGTATCATGTATGCCAATGTTTTTGAAATTTTGTAGTTTCCAGTGTTGCGTTCTATAGTGTCGGTGACGGTGATAGTGAGCCTTCTAGGCACCGTCGGCGTGATCAAGGTCCCAGGACAGAAACGTTTTATAATAAATATGTCATAGTGTTTGTTTAGGTGTCTTTCTAAACCCACTTGTCGATATTTATTACCAAGGTTTATACCAATGTTACTCCTGCCATTGTTACTACTAATACTACTACTGTTGCTACTACTACTAACACTCCTACTAATACTACAACTACTACTACTACTACTATTAATGTTAATGCCACTACTACTACTATTACCACAAATACTACTCGTATTTCTACTACCACTGTTTCTACAGTACATAATATTCCTACTATTATTACTACTCCAAATACTACTACTACGACTACTGTTACTACTACTACTACTACTACTACTACTACTACTACTACTACTAGTAGTAGTAGAAGTAGTAGTAGTATTCCTATTACTTCTATTAATAATAATACTATTAATAGTTCTTCTTTAACTACTACAATTTCTGATATTTCTAATTTTACTATTTTTACTATTATTAAAACTAGTGCT